ATTGAGAAGTTTACCGGGAAAAATAGTTTCGGGCTATGGCAAATTAAGATGAAGGCTCTGTTAAAACAACAGCAGATATGGCGTCCGTTGGCTCCAAAGAGTACTACTTCGGAGTCAGGAGACGGACCGACTGACTCGCAGTTAGAAGTTATGGAAGAGAAGGCACACTCTACCATATTACTTAGTCTTGATGATCAAATCATCACGGAGGTGGCTGATCAGGAAACGGCGGCTGGATTGTGGCTGAAGCTGGAGTCATTGTATATGACTAAGTCGTTGACCAACAAATTATTACTGAAACAGCGGTTGTTTAGCCTCCGGATGCAGTCAGGTACTTCCTTACGGGAACATCTAGAAAAACTTAACTCTATTTTGCTTGATTTACGTAATTTAGATGTTAAAATTGATGATGAGGATGCTGCGTTGATTTTACTTGTATCTCTACCGTCTAGCTTTGAGAATTTTGTAGAGTCTTTTGTTGTTGGTAAGGATTCTATAACCTTAGAAGAAGTGAAGGCAGCACTTCATACTAGGGAACTCAGAATGAAAGCTACGAGTGATAATGGGGATAATGGTAGTGGGTTGTTTGTTAAGTCCGGAAAGTCTAAAAAGAATAAGGGGTTTAACAAGGGGAACAATGCTGGGTCGGGTGCTGGAAACGGCAAGGATGGATCTAGTAAAACTACTACTAAAACATGTTATTACTGTAAAGAACCGGGTCACTTTAGGAATAATTGTCCGGTGAGGAAAAACAAGTCCCAGGCTGCTGTAGTTGAAGAGAAACCGAATGAGAGCTATAATTCAGAGGAAGATTTAGCATTAGTCAGTTCTGCTAGGTCTGATGATTTATCTGATAACTGGGTTCTAGATTCGGGGTGTTCGTTCCATATGTGTCCACGTCGAGATTGGTTTGATACATATGAACCTCGCAATGGGGGTATGGTTATAGTCGGTAACAATGCTCCATGTAAGGTCACAGGTATTGGTTCCATGAGGTTGAGGACTGTTGATGGGCGGAGGTTAACTTTGACTAATGTACGGCATGTTCCTGCTTTAGGAAAGAATCTGATTTCATTGGGTACCCTGGATGAATTGGGGTACAATGGTGTGTTTTCAGATGGGGAGTTGTGTATTTTCAGAGGTTCTGAGTTGGTACTTAAGGGTATCAAAAGGAACACCCTCTATGTTTTTGAGGGTGTTACACTGCCTAGTTCTGCGGTTTGCGCATCTGTATCTCACCAGGAGATGACTAAGATTTGGCACATGAGGCTTGGTCATATGGGGGAGAAGGGGATGCAGCTATTGTCCAAGAGGGGTCTTCTATCCGGGGTCAAGGTTGCCAACCTTGAATTTTGTGAGCATTGTGTGTTTGGTAAGAAACACAGGTCAAAGTTCAGCAAGGGTGCTCACATTACTGATGCAGTGCTCGATTACATCCATTCAGATTGCTGGGGTCCATCTAGAGTTGAAGGTATGGGAGGTTACCACTATTTTGTGTCATTTGTTGATGACAAGTCCCGATACACATGGCTTAGGTTGCTTAAGTCAAAGGATGAGGCCTCCAAAGTTTTCAAGCAATGGAAAGCTTTGGTGGAAAATCGACAAGGAAGGAAGATCAAGAAGCTACGAACGGACAATGGGCTAGAGTTTTGCAAAGACGAGTTTAATCAGTTCTGTGCAGATGAGGGTATAGGTCGGCATCATACTGTCAGGAAGACACCACAGCAGAACGGTGTAGCAGAACGGGTTAATCAGACACTGCTAGAGAGAGTCCGATGCATGCTCTCTAATGCAGGGCTTGGGAGGAGGTACTGGAGTGAAGCTGTGTTAACAGCTTGTTATGTCATTAATAGGGGTCCTCATTCTGGAATTGATTCCAAGATTCCGTTTGAGATCTGGAGTGGTAAGTTGCCTAATTTTTCGAATTTGAAGATTTTTGGTTGTGTTGCTTATTATCATGTTATTGAGGGTAAGCTGGATCCACGAGCCAAGAAGGGGTGTTTTGTTGGGTACGGGGATGGTGTGAAGGGGTTTAGAATTTTTTCACCTTCGGAGGGTCGGGTCATTCTTAGTAGGGATGTTACTTTCGATGAAAACACCATGTATTCAATTAAAAATGCAGAGATTTCAGATTTGAGAAGGGAAGGAGACAATTTATTACAGACAGATGGGGTACTTGAGGTACATCAGTCTACCATTGCTGATTTACCTCGGGTACAATATATTGATGATGATGCTGATGTTTCAGTGCCGGGTACTCCTGAACCTGAGATTACTCCTACTCATTCTAACTCTGGGGATGAGGTGGAGCAATCTAATCAGGGGTCATCTAGTCAACCTGACACCATTCTTGAGATGCCTAAACGAGTTATCAAGAAGCCTGTTAGATTGATTGAAGAGATGGAGGGAAGAAATTGCTGTGTTGATGCGATGACAGGTTATGCATTGAGTGTAGCTGATGATGTAGAGTCATTTGAACCTGCCACATATAAACAAGCAATTAGTTGTAGTGAGTCTGCGCAATGGCTTGCCGCAATGGGTGAAGAGATGCAGTCTCTTTACAAGAACAGAGTGTGGGAACTGGTAAAGGTACCGGAAGGGAGGAAGCTTGTGGGTTGTAAATGGATTTACAAGAAGAAAGAAGGGTTGTCGGAAACTGAGCAAATACGTTTTAAGGCTAGGCTAGTTGCTAAGGGGTTCAGTCAGGTAGAAGGGGTTGACTTTGTTGAGATATTCTCACCTGTGGTTCGACATACTTCTATCCGTGTGTTATTGTCAATTGTAGCACATTTTGATCTTGAGCTGGAGCAGTTGGATGTTAAAACGGCTTTCCTTCATGGCGATTTGGAGGAGGAGATTCTGATGAAGCAGCCCGAAGGATTCGAAGTTCCTGGAAAGGAACACTATGCCTGCAGATTGCTAAAGTCATTGTATGGACTTAAGCAATCCCCCCGACAGTGGTACAAAAGGTTTGATTCTTTTATGGTTTCACAAGGTTTTGACAGGAATTCATATGATTGCTGTGTGTATCATAGTAAGCTGGATAATGGTTCCATGATTTATCTTTTGTTATATGTTGATGACATGTTGGTTGCCACAAAGAATAAATCTGATATTGCTAGATTAAAGGAGATGCTTAACTCGGAGTTTGACATGAAAGACTTGGGTGCAGCTAGGAAGATTTTGGGTATGGAGATCTACAGGGATCGGGCTAGAGGTAAGCTTTTCTTGACTCAGAAAAGCTACATTGAAAAGATTCTGTCTCGTTTTGGGATGGAAAAATCGAAGCCTATAAGTACGCCAACTACTGTTAGTTGTAAGTTGTCTTTGTCTATGTCACCTCAATCAGAGGAGGAGTTGTCTTATATGTCTAGAGTTCCATATGCAAACGCGGTTGGTTGTTTGATGTATGCTATGGTCTGTACTAGGCCGGATATTGCGCATGCTGTTAGTGTTGTAAGCAGGTTTATGGCTCGACCTGGGAGGGAACACTGGCAAGGGGTGAAAAGGATTTTTCGCTACCTGAGAGGGACAGCTGATATTGGTCTTGTGTACGGGAATGATAAGGAATGCTTGGTCACTGGGTACAGTGATTCTGATTATGCAGCTGATGTGGATACCAGGAGGTCTGTGACTGGTTATGTGTTCACTTTGGGTGGTTCTGTGGTTAGTTGGAAGTCTACATTGCAGTCATCAGTTACGTTGTCAACTACTGAAGCTGAGTATATGGCTTTAACTTCTGCAGCTAAGGAGTCTATTTGGCTCAAAGGCCTAGTAGGTGAACTGGGTATTGCACAGGATTTTGCTACAGTATATTGTGATAGTCTAAGTGCGATTTGCTTAGCTAAAGATCAAGTACACCATGATCGGACGAAGCACATTGATGTCAGGTATCATTTCTTGCGTACTGACAAGAGGATTAAGGTGAAGAAGATTGGGACTGCTGACAACCCGGCTGATTTCTTCACTAAGCCTGTTCCGTTTAGCAAGTTTAAACATTGCTTAGACTTGTTAAATATTGATTACTACGTGATGTAGTAGGCCCTGAGGGGCGAAGTTGGGGAGCTCCTGGTGTAGGTGTGTTGGCATTAAGGTGGAGCTTGCCCGGGGCTTGTGATGCAGGTGGAGCATTATGAGTTGTTATACTTGGAGACGAGTATGTGATGGGTCTTGGTTGAAGACTTATCGGGATGTATGGCTTATGCATGAGTCCTGCATCGGGTTTGGCTTGAGATGTTTTTTTCACTATGTCTTGATGGGGTCGTTTGCTGACTACGAGTTCTCGTCAAGGTGGAGATTGTTGATAAGTATATTAGGTGACTCGTACTTCGTAGCTTTGTCCGCCCGATCGGGCGGACATTGCCCGGTCTGACCGGGCGGAAGAAGAAGAGGTGCCTGGCAAATTCGTTGAAGAAGCTGCTCTCGCGCCCGACCGGGCGAGCCTTCGCCCGACCGGGCGAGCCTTCGCCCGATCGGGCAGACCTTGCCCGGTCTGACCGGGCGGTGGGGGTTGGATACGTTGAAGCATTCGTATGGAGTTTTCTTCTCGCGCCCGATCGGGCAGACCTTGCCCGGTCTGACCGGGCGGAGAAGGAAAAATGCGGAGACGCGGATTTTACGATTTAAAGTTATCTTTTATGTTATCTTTTTGCCCAAGTATCTTTTATTTTAGGGATTAATATAAAACCTCCCTAATATTAGTATTAGGGTTAAAAGAGAGACAGAGTGAGAGCCGTTCTTGAGAAATACAAGAATCATCTTTGTAATCTTTGCAGTTTATAGTGAAATCATTCGATCTCGGTGCCCGTGGACGTAGCTATCACATCGATAGTGAACCACGTAAATTCTTGGTGTTGTTCTTATTGTTTGCATTGAATTTCTTTATTGTTTTCTTGTTTGTTTTCGACCTTTGCTTCCGCTGTCGCACAACACTAATTATCGACTACTTAACCAAAAGACGAATAACTAAACAAACAAACGACGATTATGCATCCAATTAGTGAAGCTGAGTGAAAATAATGTTGTATTAAGACCTCAAAACATAGCTTGGTAGATACAAACTTATTAACTTATTGTACATAATAACAGCTTTCTTTCACTGTTGATCACGAAGTTTGAGTTCTTGTAAAAAACATAGATATCATTCTATCATGTTCTCCTTCATTGCCACTTCAATTCTTAGCCAACGCCGAAAAGGAATACATATTTAAGGACACAGTTGGTCTGTCATCCAGTTACCATTTTGCTGTATTATTCGCATTAGAGGCCAGAATATGTCCAATTTGTTAAACCCCTTTGAAGCCTGTAACCAATATACCGCGATTGTTTAGTAAGAAAAGATTGTAAGTAATTGATGCATAATATAACAACTATAAAGTAACGTATAGTACTTCAACTATGAAGCTTGCCCATTTGTTACGACGATTTTCCATAGCCCCTTTCAAGATGGTCAGTTTTAATTTGTGCATTACTTCTGCTATCTCAAAGAAGGCTCCTTCATCATTGCAGATCATCTGTTCAACAAGTTATATAGAAAACCCAATTTAGTTTAGTTAATTTCTAATTCATACCAGTTTTTTTGGATGATTCGAAGTTCAGTAAAAGGATAATAACAAGCATATACCTGTATCTGAAACTGACTAGGATGTTCCAAATCTTTTACAATAATAGGGCATGCTTTGAAGTCATTTCCACCTTCTAAAGAAACATTATCCTGCAGAAAGTTGAAAAATGTCATTATATTGTTGGAAATTTTATGTTCTTTGAAGGATACAGGGCCAAGAGAAGAAGCTTATATTTGCGAAATCAGCAGGATAGCAGCCTCAGCAGGTAGTTTTTTTAGCCTTGGATCAAGCATCACTCCTCCGGCCTCTTCACATCCGATTCCAAATTAAAATTCCACTTGTCACGAGCAATCGTTGCTTTGAAGGATAACAAAACTTGCTAATTGTAACACATGTGAGTATATGGTAGTTTCTGTACCCTGCTCAAAGTGTTACAGTAGTTTCGAAGATACATACAAATAGGATTTTCTTGAAATCAAAAGGCATGTATAGTAGTAGACTAGTAGTAGTAGTTTTAAGAGTTCATGTACCTCTTGACTTATGAATTGTTTCATTTTCTCTGCTCGTTCTGTCACGCTTTTTAAGAACATCATATGCTTTGCAGTTTGGTCTAGCAGTCCATCAATGCTACTCTGAAGCAAAAAAAACTATGGTGAATTTTACAGGACAAATTAGAAAAAAGTAGTAAGTTATTTTACTAGAGCTACTGACATTTGTACCATCTGGGACTAATTTGCGCAACACCTTGAGTCGATCTTGAATAAGTTGTCTATCTCTTGGCCTCGGTCTATCATTACTCTTTGGTTTCTCCTTCTTGCCCCTGCTGTGTTTGGGCTTCTTGAGATTCTTATCGTCAAGCAACTTAGAAGCACGTTCGAGTTGTTGCTTATCTGCAACTGCTGCACTTTCTAAGCTCTCCAATGAGGGGGCTGAAGTCATACCAAACATGGTTTGGTTGTCTGACATAGTGTTGCACTCTTCTGGTACTGAGATGGTATCAGGAGTCGTCTCTGCCAATGAGGTTACAGATGATTTACTAGTTTCACAGCGATTAAAACTAGTACTGTCATAGGAATTATTAACTGAAGTAGCAACCACATCTGCCAACAGATGTTCTTGTTTACCACGTTCATCAACTAGTCCACACGATTCCACTGCTGAAAAACAAAATCCTTCCTGAGAGTACACATTTTCCTTGTTTGTGCATTCTGAGTGCCTATAATCGTACTCATCATACATTATAAAATCTGGCTGAAGAATCGCTGCTTGTAGTTCACAGTCTCTAGGAAAAACGCTGAGATTTCTGCTGCTACTGAGGCCTACTCCGGATTCTACTGTCAGAGAAAATTCTAATTCTCTGAGAACGGAATCAGAACATCTCTGAACACATGTTTTTGCTGAGACTCTAGCATCATCAAATTCTTCTTCATGTCTAGGAAACATCCACATTTCTGCTGCCTCTTCTGGTAGCACACAATCTCTTAGGAAATTGTCGAGATTTCTGCAGTCAGTATGATCTACTCTGAATCCAACTGCAGACGGACATCTCACTTGTTTGTGGACAGAATCAGAACATATTCCACCAGACAAGTCTTCAGATACTCTAGCATCATTAAAATCTTCTTCATGGCAAGAAAACATCCACATTGTTGTTGCATATGGTGTATCAGTGCTAAGAAGTTCGCTTGTAATTGGTTCAATATTGGTATTCAAGTATGGATAAATCATGTTCTGATCATCAATAATACAGGAAATTTCCTCAAGCTCGAGAAAATTATCCTCCATTAAAGGAACAAGTTGATCATAAGTGGCTGGGAAATCGTTTTCTATGAATTCTGCATCATGAATTATATTAATATCCTCATATTCCATACTTTGCAGGTTGTTGTAAGTGAAAGATGATTCATCGTTGTTTTCTGGTTCAGCCATCAGAATCGACGAACAAAGAAGAAGATCATCAGCATAACTAGGCAACGCGATGTTTGTCATGTAGGTATGAGTGAAGAATCTATCTCTAATATCAGCACATACGGCTAGATTTTCATCAACCTAATCAGTTATTAGAAACAAAAGGTATAAGCTTCATACTTTCGTACAAGTGATTGGTGAACAAGGATACTAAAATCTAAATTACAAAAAACAAGTTTGAATCAAAATCTTCCAATGAAACATCATAAATCTACCAATGAGATGCCAAACTTCATACAAGTAGCAGAGAAAGCAGCATGAGAAGTAATCTCCAGGTTGTTTTAGAATTAGTATCTAGACGAAACATGACCATTAGTCAAGTAAGCTAAGCCGATTATCTAATAACCTAAATATAGCCTTATAGGAGGTTGAGACGATGTGACAAGTAAATATGGGCTTAAAAAGGATATTACTTTGTGTATTTTTTTTGTTCATCTAGAGGTTTGTGTTGTTCGATCGGTTTCAAACACAAGTTACATGTGAAGAATGTGAACTGTAATTGAATTGCATAGCATCCCATAAAAGCCCATTTGTTTTTCAACACATGCAAAAGTACTAAAGTGATTCATATATGTATACATGCATAGTCGTATAGATACATAAGCACTATTTATTCTTCAACATATGCATTTGTACCTTTATTTAACTTATAATAGGAGCAATATTGTCCCAATACTATATACCTAATGCGAATATTTTTGAATATTAACAAGGTTATTGATCAGTCACCTTTTCAAATGAGCCCAATTGCAAAACTCCATATGGTAACAAAGGTGCTAGTAAAGTTGTCTGCACAAAAATAAGCAAACAAGTGAGCAAAATGTCTCCTAGATAATTGATGCACCTTGGCAAGCAGGTTGTTAGTGTTGGCTCAAATTAGTTCAGGTCATATAGAATTGATGGGTGCCCCTCATTTGCACCAAAAAAAAAAAAAAAAAAAAAAAAATTGATGAGTCTTGCCACGGGGATGAATTCAGTTTAGTTCATGTCATATAAAATAGACGGGTCGTGCACTCGTGCAATGAGTATTCAAAATTTTCATTATTAGTTATTGTTGAGATTTAATTTGATATATTAGTAAAATGCTAAAATGAAATCAAATTTGTGTTAATTTTAACTTGAGTCAAAATCAGATTAACACGTTTAATTCAAGCACAATTGAATGTGAGCTTGATAATTACTCGTATACTCTAATGTGAGATGGATATTATAACATCATTTTTGTATGATGGAATCAACTCACCTTTATTCCTGCTGCAATGGGAAGAAGCCAATCATCAGAGTACTGCTTTAAAAAAAAAAAAAAAAAAAAAAAAAAAAAAAAAAAAAAAAAAAAAAAGCATTAGTTTAGGAAAATTAAATTTATGATGCAACTTAAAACATAAGGTCAAACTCACCCCGGCCCCTAAGTTGGAATTGAGCTGAATTGATTGAATGTCATCTGAATAGATCCAGAAATCACTCTCTGCGAATGCCACTCTTCCCACCATCCTGATTAATATAAGATTCAAGCAAATTACAATTATTGTCAAGCACGCCATTTTTTTTTTTTTTTTTTTTTGACGGAGCCAATTTGTAGTTATAACTACATCAATTAAAATAAAGTCTTCACGGCGTTGATTGGTACGTGAGATTGGGAGTTATGGAATTAGAGAATATATGTCTTTGATAGTGTTGTGTTATAATTTGTGATTGGAAACTTAAATTATTGTGTTACTAGTAGGGGTGTCAATTCGGTTAAACAGTTCGGGTTTGTGTTGGGTTTATCAGTTTCGGGTTATAACGGGTCGGTTTATAACGGATTGAAATAATAAGCGGGTCGGTTTTGAAAATTATCGGGTCAGTTCGGTTTGGTTTTTTTAATTGCAGTTTCTATTCGGATCGGGTCCTTATCAGGTCGGGTTCTAGTCGGTTCGGGTCATAATCAATTTGGGTTGAACTGGGTCGGTTTGAAAACGGGTTTAGCCCATTTAATGTGGGTTTCGGTTAAAAACAGTTCGGGTCTTAATCAGGATGGGTCGTAATTGGTTCGGGTCATAATCAGTTTGGGTTTAACTAGGTCGGTTCGAAAATGGGTTTCGGTTCAAAATAGATCGGGTGAAATCGGGTCCAACCATTATTGTTTCGGTTATAATCGGTTTAGATTGAACTTGGTTGGTTTGAAAACGAGTTTACCCAATTTGAAACGGGTTTCTAATCAAAATCATATCGGGTTAAAATTGAGTCGGATGATTATCGAGTCGAATTAGTCAGATAATGGGTAGGAACGAGTCATGTTATAATCAAGTCAAGTCATAAATAAGTTGGGTTTATCGAGTAGTGGGTTGAAACAGATTAGATCATAAACATATTGGGTAACAGGTTGTAAATGACTCAATCATAACGGGTTACGGGTTTTAAACGGTTTGGTCATAACGGGCTACGGGTCGTAAACGGTTCGGTCACAACGGGTTACGGATTATAACCGGTTCGGTCACAACGGGTTACGGGTTGGAACGATTTAGGTTTATCGGATTTTTATCGGGTTTTAACGGTTTTCGGTTTAAAACGGGTCGGGTTACTATCGGGTTTAAACGTAATCGGTTTGGGTTGCTTTCAGTTTCGGATTGTAACGGTTTGGCTTGATAACGGGTCGGGTTAGTAACGGTTTGCACAAATTCGGTTTAGTTCAGTAACGGTTTGGAAAAAATTGGGTCGGGTCAGTTTTCGGTTTCCAAAAAACGGGTTTTAAACAGTTCAGTTCCTTTTCGGATCGGTTCGAAACAGTCGAGTTTAACGGTTTGGGTCAGAAACTGACAGCTCTAGTTACTAGCTAATAGTTATTCATCATATCCTTGTTCAATATGCTTGTGACATAATGGAAAAAATATTTTAACACCATTAACGAAAATCTGTCTCAAAAGATAATTTTATGTAGATGTTTTTGTTGCGAAGGTCTTTTTTATAAAAAAAAAAAAAAAAAAAAAAGGTGGGTCCTTTTTATCATATTTGGGCTGTGGACGTGTGGTGTTTTGACCAGATTTTAGCCATTTGACTTTTTTCTGCCCAAAAAAAATAAAAAATCACGTGCACATGACCACTTAAAATTCGTTTTATTTTATTTTGACTTTTACCACATGCAATAAACGAAAAATTTGCTTTTACCATCTCTATAAAAAAAAAAGTTTTATTTTACCACCATATATAAAAAAATAAAAGTTAGCTTTTAACACTTATCACGGCCAACTAACGGATTCCGTCTATATCCGTTAGTGGTGCCTAACATGTCCACGAGTCACCATAAAACCCAATAATATGGTAACTCGTGGACATGATAGGCCCTACTAACGGATTTATAGACATAATCCGTTAGTTGGCCCGGATTGGTGGTAAATGCCAATTTTCATTTTTTTTTTATGTGCTGGTAAAATAAAACTTTTTTTTAATTTTTATAGAGGTGGTAAAAGCAAATAAGTGGTGTTTTGGAGGTGGTAAAAATCAAAATTTCATTTTTAATTAGCAATTAACTACAAACCTCACTTTTAAGTTGAGTAATCACTAAAGTTGTTGCTTGGCTAACTCTATATATATATAGTCTAGTTGAATAGTTGATCTCCATATTCAAACGAACAAACACCCCATCATAATAATCATAAATTCATAATTATTCCATTCTTCCGAAATAAATCAAATAGTGTAAGAGAGATCATACCCCTCTCCTAGCAAATATTGACAACATGACATATCAGCAACTGCAAATTCAATAGGATATCCTACTCCCAAGGATTGTACACCATCACAAATGTTTATTGCTTCATATCCAAAACTTTGTATGTCTTCTTGACTTGATGAGTTATTAGGATTGCTTGATAGACATGGTTGCTGTAACGACCTATCGGAGTCGCAATACACATCTTCACAGGTCAATACCCTATTGAAAATAATCAAGTTTTAGTGTATACATGGTGAACAACTATGTTTATATCCAACAATCATTACAACCTATCAAACATTTAGCAAAGACTATTCCATATATTCAATCCGATACGTGTATAGTGTTAACGTCTATTGACCTTTCTAAAGGTCTCAACAATTCTACATACTACATCCGTTGTAATTTTTGAAAAATTTTATATCTCACAAATAATACCCAAAACTTGCATGTGTAACAATATATAGCATATGTAACAATGCTACTTTATATCCCTTGTAAAATCATCAAATTTCCATTATATAGCAGAGTACATATTAAATTTTTGAGAAAATGACAACTTTTTTAGAACATCAAGTGATTAATTAGAGGTGGGGATTAATATAATAATATTATATGACCAAAAACGAAAGAATATCTTACTTGTAGTTTTCTACTTGTTGAAGCTTCCAAAACACAGCATAGCTCCATTGAGAACTAATGCAGAGATTTTTAAGCAATTGCCTTAAGGCAACAGTTTCCATCAGCCAAGATTAGTCGTATTATAAAAGTTATGATTTCTTAAAACAAAATTGAACTGACCAATATATTGCAACACTTTCTAAGTTATATAATCTTCGTTAGCTACCACTGTATGAAGCTCCTCCGGCTTGTCGAACTCGAAAACTTGCCCTTCTTTTTAGCAATGGCCACATCCCAAGAAGCAACCAGCACATTGCTAAGTTTAACTCACTTTTTTCATCAAGCAATTTGCCATTTAATTTGTTGTTCATAAAAAACTTTGTGTTATACGTACCACATGTAACAATCTTCACTCGCAAAATGATCTGCGCAAACAAGATCGTGACAACAATTAGCACCTAAAGGCAATTTTCCATGTACGTTCAGTTGTAAGAATTGTAAATTGTACATTGTACATTCAAGATTATTAATAAATAATTGAAAATCCTCGCATCTAAAAGGACATTATGCATGAATTGAAGAATAAGTACGTAACATGATAGTAATTTGTGTAGAACTATCCGGAAGATAGGGTGTTTTGTGAAAAACTACCCATTTTTTTAAAAATTGTTTACAACTACCCGGAAGATTGAAAACGTTTGGTTAGCACTACCCAATAACGTTTTCCGTCCATTTTACACGTTAGTGGGGCCCACTTTTAACCTTTCCCACCCAATTTACTCCCCCCAACTACCTTTTCTTTCTCCTCTTCAATTCCTTCTTAATTTTCCCCCCTTCTCACTGAAAAATTTAGATTCAAGAATTCAAGCAAGTGAACACAAATTTAGGTAATCTTTCACAATTTTGTACTAATTAATTGTTTTTCGCATTTGTTTACAAGTTTTAGAAGAATGCAATTTAAAGAATTAGGCTTTAAATTTCTGATTCAAATTAGGGTTTATGAGTTCAATCAAATTTGGGGGTTTTTATTTTTAGGGTTTAGGAATTCAATTGAGTCTTTGATTTGGGTTATTTTGGGTTACAGATTGAGTTGTGAAGCATTTTTAAGTACTTTATATTACTAATTGACATGGTAATTGGTAGGATGTCGAGTTCATTATACCACTTCTCTATGCAATATCATCCAAACAAGTGCAATTGTGGCATTCCACCAAAATTGGAGACGTCGTCGTGGACTACAAAAAACTCTGTGAGAAGATTTTTGGCTTATAAATTCTATGATGCTGCATTTGGTAGAAGAGGATGCAAAATTTTCAAATTGATTTTACCGGAAGTCTTGGGAGAATTTGAAGGTCAATTGAGGAGAGTAAAAGAAGAGAATGAAGGAAGAGGGTGGAGTAATAATGGAGGGAAATAAAAGAGGAGAGAGAAAAGGTAGGTGGGGGGAGTAAATTGGGTGGGAAAGGTTAAAAGTGGGCCCCACTAACGTGTAAAATGGACAGAAAACGTTATTATTGGGTAGTGATATCCAAACGTTTTCCATCTTCCAGGTAGTTGTAAACATATATAAAAAAAAAATGGGTAGTTCTTTACAAAACACCATATCTTCCGGGTAGTTTTACACAAATTTTCCTTTTATTATTAGTCATGTTTATCAGTGTACAAATTCAATCATTGATATATGTAATTACAGAGAATCAAAAAAATTATGAAAAGATGATATTTTAAAAATATATATCTTGGTGAATCTAACAAGATCCCACATAAATATATGTCTATATCTTTCATTATGTATAAAACACTAAATATGATCTAAGAAAAGTCTGTGAATAGTGCTAAAGTTAACAATAATCTATTAACTAAAAAAAACAGGGGTAGTATATTGTGTGTAATTTTTTTTTTTTAGGAAAAGTATATTGTATGTAATTATTATGTCATCATGTCATTTACTCCCTAGCCGGGTGAAAAAGAGGGGATAGAGAAAGAAGTTTAATATGTGGTGAGTTAATTTTATCATCTTACATCAACAATTTCATCTTCAATTCTAATACATAGTAAAAATAATAAAAACTACATTCATCAACAATTGCATTATTACTAATTATTATAGGTTGAAGTAATGCAAGTAAATATTAAAATTACATTCAGATCTCACACACAATGATCATGATCCAGCTTATTTTTTATTGTAAATGTCTTATTACTTTTGCCTAAGGTTGAAGTTTGCAAAAATTTTCATCAATCTTTGACTTTGATTTTAATACATCAAAATATTACAAGTATATACTTATTTGATTTAGATACAAAATCAACATTAATCTATCAATTTTTGTCATGAAACGCACACGATGTCTCTTACAACTTCTCCCTTAGCTTACATACATCAAGAACTTACCCTTTATTACAACAAATTAAACTACCTTTAAGCATAACTAATTAAGGCAAAGCGAGCTGAATAAAACTAGGAAGTACTCATCATCTACAAAGTTAAACATTATTGAAAATCTTAATTAAACATGCATAGTCTATATATGAAAGTAAAGTAAAAAAGAAAAATAAATAAATAAATAATTAACAACCAAAGACAGCATATATAGTTTCAAATATTCATATAGTACAACTTTAAGAAATATATTTAATGTTTATATGACGTAATATATGCAAATAACAAACGCTTAAACAAGGGATGGTCGAAAACAGAAATATTACCGGGCTTGGAGAATCTAGATGTCTGAATATCAAAGACATGCATAAATGTTGTTAGTCAATAGCCCTTCATCTTCAATTTATTCCACAAAGATTTATATTCGATTACTAGAAATTAAAAAAGAAAAATATCGATCAATTTAGAGAGGGAAAATTAGAGATTAGAAGATGAATAAATTGATGAAATATATTTGGTGGATTTATAAAGAGAAATAATGTTTTTTGATTTACTAATAGAGGTATCTCGGTTGCAAGTCGCCGCTTATTTGTATTAATTTTTCTGTTTTGGGGTTTAATATAATTAATAATTTGGTGTGACGTAAAGTTGACAGATCTATTAAGGTTTTTTAATTTAGTGATGAGCTGTGGTACACTTAATTTGTCCACTTACTTTTTGTCCTTTGTTGAATTTGTATAATTAGAGTATTGTCTTTGGTTGATTTTGTAATAGAGTATTGTATTTTTCAATATGGAAGCTGAGAAGATATCAACCTACTACGGAGTACTATTTCATGTTTTATACTCCAAACTTAATGCTTGGCTCATTTGGTTATTCTTGTCTTAAATTATAATGTTATTGAGGAGATTTGAAGGTGAAGGATTCTATTCATTTACGTATTTTCCTTATTTTCTAGTGTTTTATGTAAAAATTGATGTTTGGATTGATCGGAGTCTTGAATAGAAAAAAAAATAATAATAATAAAAAAAAAACCCTATGTAAGCAATGTCTCGGTTTTAAACTAACATTAGACCAGCAAATTAGAATATATACTAGTTACATGTTAATATGCAATTTTGATATACTCCATATTATTAGATTGCAGCTAAAACACATACTTAAAAGCATAGACATTATTACTCGTATAAGGGTAAAATTATATGTAGCCCTTATGGCTAAAATAAACATTAAACATCTTCTTTTATTATTTTCAATGTGTGGTTCCTACAGGCGTTGGTACCTTGCATCGTACAGCCGTTTCGCGAAAAGAACATATTACACACATGTAAAGAACATACTGTTGTAATGAAAAGAACATACTATTAAAAAGTAATGAACACATATCTAAAGTAAAAAGAACATATTTATATTAAAAAAGAGTGAAAAGAACATATGTTCATGTTCTTTAATTGTCAGTGTAATGTACTTTTATTTGTGATATAATGTTAATTACTTATTGTGAAATGTTCTTTGATTTTTTTTTTGTTTAAATTATGGTGAATATACATAAATCATGTTCATTACATAATATTTTCATGTTCTTTATAAATATTAGGGATGTTCTTTAGATGTATAAAAAAACATAAAATTAGATGTTCTTTACAAAACAGTCATATGTTCTTTACAAAACAACTTTATGTTCTTTAAAAAACTGCTACATGTTCTTTTCGCGTTTTTTGCCTGGACCTTGCTAGGTACAGGCGACTATACCTTAAAATTAGAGTCTCCCACATATCACCACAGGTTGGTATAAGTGGGCAAACCCCATAACAAATTAAAAATTAGAAGGGAAGTATAAGAAAAGCTACACTTCCAAATTCCAAATTACTTTGTTGGAATTTGATAGCCGAGATATAAGTACAAATCTTATAATCTAACCAATTAATTAAGTAGGCAATTACTCCCTCCAAATATAGTTCTTGTTTTTGTTTTGAGGCCTCTCCAAAAGTTGTTCCCATTTTCTATATTTTCATTTTTAGACACTATGAAAATAACAAATTACCTTCATATTTTTTTTTAATTCACTCAGCTACAATATTTTCTCTAGCTATTTATACTACCCTTACCCTTGAGCATATACTTTATACTTTATAGCTACAATTTTTTTTATGTTTATATTATTTAATTTGCGGTTCACTCATATATCTTATACATTCCTCTCTTTTTATGTACTTTCTCCTTCCAATTCCCAACTCTAACTTGTGTTTGTGTCAAATGGAAATGATCTTTACTTGAGAACTGATGAAGTACTATTTGGTACGATTTCAAATAAAATGTTAGAATGAGACAAACATAAGAGAATAGAGAGAGTATAAACTTAAACTATCAAGTATGCGTAATGTCAACTTGATAATAATTTTTCCTTAGATCACTAATTCACCAGATACTGCTGAAATATTCTGTATTTATATATTAATTCACTAGAAACTGTCCAAACTGATACTGATCAGTAATTCAATTAATTCTGCTAGACAATATTATTATAACAAGTTTGACTAAGTTAACCAATCATGAAATCACTTAATTATTATATAATAGGGTATTATGTGGTCACCAACCATGCACGATAGCCAGAATCACTTAATTGTATCCGTTAATTGACCACTAACGAGATGTAGTATATACCGAATCTCTAAGAATATATAGGCACACATATAGCCTATGTCAAACAAGAATCTATAATAACGGAGTATCCAACAAATCTATCGAGAGGCAAATTACGCAATGGATTGGATTGTTAATGTGGGGCATTTAGTTTATGATAGTATGGATATTAATGTTTGTGATAATTCTAGTTTGTATTCTATTCTTTTGACTGACACATTAGAGATACCCTCGTGAGGAGGGCTTCCTAATAATTTTTAATCTTACCATTAAAAAAAAAACATAGCCTATGTCAAACAAGAATCTATAATAATATGAATAATAAATAAATAAAGTAGATCTGAGGGTGCAAATAACTAAATAAGAGGATTCTTACTATTATGAAAAGGAAAAATTGCCCGAAATAATCCCACCATTGGCTCGTCCGCCAAAAATAATCCCACCTTTGGATTATTTTTAAATAATCCGACCTTTACATCCACTTCGCTCCTACTGGTCCCTAGTGACCTGTAACCGATTGAGTAGGTAATTTTTTTTAATTAAGTTTAATTTACACACGTGTCATGACGTGCGTGATTGGTCAAAAAATAATTTTTTATTTTAATTTTGTTTAAGGAATGATTATTAATAATTAACATTAATTAATTTTAATTTTTTTACTTTAAAAAAACCTAAAATTAACCCCAGACCCTAGCCCCACCGCGACCTCAGCCACCTCCCCACCCCTACCACCAGCGCTAGACGAGGCCTAGAGCAGCCAGCTTCGCCGCGCCGTTCTCCTACTCGGAGCTGCTCTCCAACCCTCCCCTACCCTTTTACCCACCACAACCATTAATGAAATCAAGGTGTGTGAAGAGGATGTTGTTTTAAAGAATACTACAAGAAGGGGGGGTTGAATTGTAGTATGAGAATTTAGCCAAACTTTTTGCGGAATTAAAATTAAGTTAGCTAAAGGAAATGAAAGATTAACTAAAGGAACTAAAGAATGCAAGAGAGTTTTAACGTGGAAAACTCCTTGGCCCTAACAAGGAGAAAAACCACGACCACTTGGGATTTTGGGAAAAGAATCGATCTTCACTATAATAGGGCAAATGATCCTATTACAAGCTAACAACTCAAACTCAAGTTCCTCTACGAACTTGAGACCCTGAGGAACAAGTCACCCAACTTGTTACTCTTCTCTTCTCTTTCTCTCTTCTCACTTCTCTGTTCTCTCTTCTCTTTCTCTTCTCTTTCTCACTTCTCTTTCTCATACACAAAAGTTCACTCGAACTTCCCCATTCTCCAAATTACAACTCGAACGATCGAAAAACAAACTCTAGTATAAGAACATTAAGAGCACTCTAATGAACTTGTGTGGAATTGACACTTGACTCGATTTGAAGCTTGAAAACTTATGTGAGCAAGGGTAAGTATGTAATACCCCGTATTTTTATGTATTTTTATAAAGTATTTAAGTATTAATAAAATGTATTGTCAAGGGCTCAAGTATTTTAATTAAATATTTTAAAGGGTCAAAGTATTTTAAATATAAAGTTTTATAAAAGTAAAATATGTTTTGGGCCAAACGTTTATTAATTATTGGGCAATGAAAATTATTCCTACATACTCTTATTGGAATAACCCATTCCAAAACCCATAACTTAAGCCCTATCCCATAACTCAAGCCCACATTTTTTATAAGCCCAAATTTAACCCTACACTCTCTATTCTATAAGTACCCCATGAATCCCCAAAAATTTCCCACACAAAAAGGAGACTTGGTTCGAGAATTGTTGTAGAGTACTCGGTTATTTTAAGAGCTTATTTGAGGTACGTTCGCGTACTTAGCATATTTTGATGATGTAGAATCATGCTAGGCTTGATTTCAATCAATTACAAGTAGTATCATGCTAAGATTTATGTATGGAATTGTGAATTAATGGTGTTGGTGATTGAATGGTGAAGCATGAATTATTTGTGATGGTTTATGGATTGGAAAATTATATTTTTGGCATGTTGTGTTGAACCACATTTTTATTTATGGCATGTTAGAAGGCATGATTAATTAAACTACATGTTTAATTATGTTTGGAATACTGAAAAGGAATTTTATTATGGTTCAAATAATTTTTATTGATGCTTTAAGCAGGAGGAAGAAGCTATATAAGTGTCTATGTACACAAGGAATAAATTGTATGTTGGTGCCTTTGTGCACTTAAGGTGTTTTTAACACCGAGGGATAGGATTTTTGGCGCATTATGCGTTTAAGGTGTCTTTGACACTGAGGTAGAATTAAAAAGGGTTCAACATTAAATAATATGTGGTCACTAAGTGTACAAGAATTAATTTGGTATGTTTGGTTGATTGAATAATTATTGTTGATTGTTATCTGATGCTTTGAGAGTCATCACCAAGTCCAATAAAAGGTAAATAACGTAAAGTGAAAGAGATTACGCACCAAAACTCTTGGAACGTATATACCTTGAGTATGAACAATGGGGGGAGTTATGGGGTTTTATATTTAACCATAACTTCTAATGGAGTACAGGACGCTGTGCATTCCTTTTTATTTATTATTATGCGCAGGAATTCCACCACCTTTGAGTGGTTTTGTCGCTGGCACGGTTAGCTCCCGTGTCAGTTAACCTCAATTTATTTGGGGGAGGTAGTAGGAGGAAACCCGTTCGATGCGTAATCAACGCTTAATAAATTATTTAGTGTCTAGTTAAAAGTCTTGATGAATGTTGTGTGTGCTTGTTCACAGGTGTATTGAGGTAAGTGTGTGTTGATAAGTGAAAGCATGATAGTGTGTTTAATTACGCTTATATACTCAGCTTTGTTGATTGTGTGTGTTTGTGTGTTTTGGCCATGTCTTTATCTTGGCCCTATGATGACCCAATTTTAATGGAGAGTAGTGGAGACAAGTAGAGATAAGCTTTTCAGGTATTGAGGCATATTCATGATGGGGCACGAGTGAAGAGCGAATCATGCTAGTTTATATTAGTTACA